TCCGTGTTTATTTTATAGGGGTTGGTTAGATAAAGCTCAAGGGAGTTTTGCAGACTTAGAGGAACCCGGTGGGCACAGATTGTTTTGTTCCCAGGCTATCTGCATGATAAAACTTTCTTCTGCAAAGGTTGCGGTTATCTACTCTCATCTCAATCCCACCAGGCTCCAGCTGTAGCCAGTGCCACCTTCCTCTGCCTTGCAGATACAAGCAGTCAAGCATGGCCTTGCCAAGCGCTTAACCTGGCTTTTGATGTCAGCCTTCATCGTCCCCCACAGGGGTGGTGTGGTGAAGAGTCAAAGGGTAGAATTTTTGTATGCAATTGAAGCTGCCATCAAGAGAAAATACAATGTTAAGTGTATTAGTTGCTATGTCTCTCAGAAACCACAAGCACACACCTATGTCGTAGATACACAAAAGATAAAGGACTCCACTATAGAAAATGGTGCAATCACAAATGAAGACAGTAAGACAAAAAGACAGACAAGCTACAAAAATGCCAGAAACCAATGAAGAAATGGCAGTAATAGGTTCTTAAACAAATTCTCTAACTAAAAGACAGAATAGCTGAAGGGATAAAAAAGGAGGACACAATATATGCAGTGTGCAAGAGACTCCTTAAACCTTTATGGACATAAATAGCCTAAAAGAAAAACAAGGCGAACATATTCCTTGGAAATAAAACCAAAAGAGGACATAAGTAACTAAAATTTTATCAGACAAAATAGACAACCTCAAACACTGACACAAAAGATAAAGGTCATCACAGAATGATGACAATAAAGAGGACAATGGTTTTAAGTATTAAGCATCATCCCACAACATATATTAAGATTATTAAGGAGCTAGCCCTGGCTGGTGTAGCTCAGTAGATTGAGTGCCAGCCTGCGAAGCAAGGGGTCCCTGGTTCAATTCCCAGTCAGGGCACATACCTGGGTTGTGAACCAGCCATGTGCCCAGTCAGAAGCACACATCAGGCAACCACACATTGATGTTTCTCTCCCTCTCCTTTGCCCTCCTTTGCCCTCCCATCTCCTCTAAAAATAAATAAATAAAATCTTTAAAAATATATTATTAAGGAAATAATATGAGAACTAAAGGTAAAAAGAAACCTAGTATTAGTCCAACATTAGTAGGGAACTTTATATTCCCATTTCAACAATAACCAGATTATCCCATCTGAAAGCATAAAGGAGTCACTGAAGTTTGACTACACTTTACACAACATTCCATCCAAACACAGCAGAGGATGCATTCTCGTCAAGGGCACAAGAAACAATCTCTTATGTAGGTCATATGTTAGGTCATAAAACAAGTCTGGAAATTTCAGTAGAAATTACATTAAGTGTCTTATCTGGTTGCAATGGTATGAAAGTAGAAGTCAATTTTAGTGTTGAGAAAGATGGAGTATTCACATCTTGTACTCACAGTTGATGAAATTAAACACCATACTCCTGAACAAAGAGAGGGTCAAAGAAAAGAATGAGATAACTCAAAAAATATCTAGGAGCAAAAGGAAATAAAAACACAACATACCAAAACTTATGTATGTAGAGCAGAAAATACAATTCTAACACCATATTTTGTAGGGATAAACGCCCACCTTAAGATAAAAGAGCTCCAATAAACAACCTAAACTTGTACCTCAGGAACCTAGAAAAACAAGAAGAAACTAAACCCAAAGTTAGCAAAGAAAATAAACAGCTCTTTTTTGAGACATTACACCTCGATACTAGGAAACACAAACAACATTAAAAGATATTTGCAGATGACATGACCTAACATACAGAAAATTGTCAACATTTTACTATAAACTTCTGAAATTAATAAATTCCATAAAGACACAGGATAGACAATGAACATATTAACATCAGTTCAGTACTTATCCACTAACAACAACATCTTTGAATGGGATATTAAGAAAGTAAACAAATTTACAACAGCATCAAAACCAATAAAAGACTCAGGAATAAATTCAACCATTCAGGTGAAAGGTCTATACATTGGATACTACAAGACATTGATAAAAGAGGTGGAAGAAAACAAAAATAAATGAAACGACATCTTGTGTTCTTCGATTTCAAGACTTAATATTGTTCAAATGTTATACTCCCCAAAGCAATGTATAGGTTAAATGCAATTTTGATCACATTTCCAGTGGCATTTTAAACAAAAAATTTTTAAAAAGAATCCTGAAATGTAAGAAACCTCAAAAGACTTGGAATAGCAAAGTGATCTAGAGCAAAAAGAGATCTAGAGGAATCCCACTTCCTGGCTTCAGGTTATTACAAAGCCCAAGCAATCAAACTGTGTGTTATTGGCACAGAGACAGACCAATTGGATAGAAACAGAGAATGCAAAAATGCAAAAATAAACCCAGGCACACATTTCCATTAAAATTTGACAAAAACTGAAGTGTAAAAAGGACGGAAAAGATAGCTTCTTCAATGAATTATGCCAGGGTAACAGGATATTCACATGTGAAACAACGAAACTGAACACCAATGATAAAAAGTAGTTCCGAAATGATTAAAAATCAAGGGTCAGTCCAAAAACCTTAAAACTCCTTCAAAACAATCTAGAGAAAAAGCTTTGGAGATTTGTATTGGCAATAATTTACTGGATGTGACATTAACCTCCAGGCAAAAAAGCAAAAATATACAATCTGAACTACAACAAACTAATAACCTTTTGCACGGTACAACAGCAATTAACAAAATGAAAAGCACATCTACACGATGGGAAAAAATACTTGGAATCTATGTAAAGGTATTTTCTAGAAATATCATTGGTTCAGTTCAGATATCCACAATAAAATGAATATTGCAATACAGAAAAAGGTTACACAAATTTTTTGATTTCTCAGTGAGTAAAAAGGTTATGTATACACTACACTGCAAAGTATTAACGCAATAGCTTTGTATATAGAACTACATAACAATTAAAATACTTCAATGCTGAAAACTGCTAACCAGTATCTCAGCCTGCTATTAAAATGGCAGCAGTAGATTTGCTGACGAAAATACTGAATTCATTAAAAAACACAGTATCTGTGAAGTACAACAAAGCAAAGCGCAAAAAGATGTGCACCTTAATCACATAAGAATTTATAAAATATACAAGGTATTCAAAAGACTCAGCCTACCCTGGCCAGGTAGCTCAGTTGCTTAGAGTAACTTTCTGATACCCCAAGGTTGAGGGTTTGATCCCTGGTCAGAACACATACAAGAACTGATCAGTAAATGCATAAATAAGTGGAATAATAATCAACATTTTTCTGTCTCTCTAAAAATCAATAAAGAAAAATGAAAAGAAAAAGACTAAGCATTAGCCCAAAAATATGGTTAAAAGCAATGTCAATGGTGTACACATTTTCCAAAAAACATGTAAAAATGACGAACAGGAATATAAAAAATGCTATTCCTCACTAATGAAGGTGGAATCCATTAGGCTTCTAGCAACACTATGCACCTCAAATCCTTCCGTATGAGGGTTCAGTAGAGCAGGTATTGGGGAAACAGGGAGAGAAAGAGGCAGTGCAAGCAAACCAGCCCTGCCAAGTCCAGGTTCTTCCCAGAACACTGGGTAAGCAAGCAGGGCCCACAGCTCAAGTGTAAGGACAGAGCGCAGCCTAGGGAAGAGAGGGCACAGGGGAAATACAAACCCTAGTCACGATCACCAGGAGAGGATGAGGGTCTTACCCTGCGAGGATATAAGAGCAAAGTTCTCCATCATCACATCGAGGTACAGATGTCTCTGAGCCTCATCAAGGAGGCGCCATTCTGTCCTGGAGAAATACACCGCGACATCCTCAAAGGTCACAACATCCTGTCAGAATTAATACAAATGAATCTGGAATAGTCTGTGTTCTTGGACGCTGCAAACCTATCCTTTCCCATGCCCAACCCACTCCAGGGCCCCGAGCTCAGAGAAGACACCAGACCTTGGCCCCAGTGCTGCCTGCTGTCTCCTTCGCCCCGGTCCCTTACAAGGCTCAGCAAGGGAAGCAGGAATAGGATGTGCCCTCGATAAATAGAATCAAAGCTCCGGGCCCCTTCCATCGGGCCAAGCAATTCCTCCGAGTCTCCCAGCTCAAGCCTCCAAGACACTGCCAAACGTGGGCTTTTGCTTAACCCTTAAATCCCCACACCAGGTCCTCAGGACCATCAGCTCCCACTGACGGTAGCTGCGCACACCATTCTGTGATCTCATCCGCCTCCACAGCTTCACACCCAGGTTCACTTCCTCAGCTCTGCCACCTCCTGCTCCACACCACAGGCATCGCTCAGAAATCACCCGGGGAACTTAGCGCACGGCTTCCAGAGGGTGCTCAGATACGTCAGAATGATCTAGTACAACTGAGACAGGACAGAAAGAAGTTCCGGAAAAGTCCTGACAAGTGGATGCAGAAGCCCACGTCCTCTCATCAGAGCCCCAAGCTCTGGGCACGAACAGAGGGAAACAGTTAAAGGCAGGAAGCCTCTGTGGCAATGACGGAAATGGAAATTCCCCTCCCAACCAGAAGGCCCACTCAGAACTTGGCACCCCAAAACTGGGAGACAAAGCCCCCACCCTTGGAAACGCATAAAACAGCAAGAACTACCCGAACACTCGCTCCTGCCTCCCCAGTGGCCCCGCGTCCACTCGGAGGCACTCGTTTTGCTTCCGTCACAGAGGCGCCCACACTGGCCTCTTTCTTTATTTCTACCTGAATAAACTAGCTTTCATCTCACACTGATTTGTTATTTAAGTTGTTCCTGGACCAGTCAAGAATCTCAAGGTTGACTGACACGTCAAAGTTTTAGGAACGTGCCGGGGCAGAAGCAGCTCCCGGCGTGTTGGAGGTTCCGTAACAAAACCGCAGTCGGCCCCTCAGCCCGTCACCCCGTCCCACCGCGTCACGCCGGGTGTCACCCACGAGCGCCTCTCGGTCCAGGACACCGGGACCGGGGCCACAGGGCTCGGCGGGGTGAGCCGCGAGGAGCCGGGGACACACCCTCACCTCGGCCGGGCGCCTCAGTGCGGCCGCTGCCATCGGGCTCCGTGGGCGGAGCGGAGAGTCGAGAACGGTGTCCCCGGTGTTGGGGTCCCTGTCCTGGCCCTGATGCCGGTCACCAGAGCAGCGTCGCTGGGCCTCCCAGCTGCTGCGGCGACCGCTACTCTCACGCGTTCTCCGTTCGCTTTCGTGGCTATCACATCCTGACCGGGTAATAACGAAACTAAGAAAAGAGGAAATGCCCGCCACGAGAAGGGACGGAAGTCCCGCCCTACAGTAGGGCCCGAAAGGAAACGGGCTTTCTGAGGCTTTTTTGGTCTGAGCCGCAATATTCTGTGCCTGCCTTCTGGGTAGTGTAGTTCCTACACTCCAAGGCCGGCATCCTCTCTTTCCTCATGGGGCTCCGGGAGGGGATTCGCGGACAGACACCCTAAACCAGCGTGCAGGGCAAAGGTGCGCTCTGTGGCGCCTCAGTGAACATCATGTCTTCATTTCTTGGGCGAGGCCGTCTGTGGTGCGCTTGCACAGTGTTTTTGTTTTGTTTTGTTTTGTTTTGTTTTTTTGTTTTGTGTTGAGCTGCAGCTTTTGCCTATCTTTCTTCAGGATCTGCCATTTCTGACCTCCAGGCATCCTGTCTCTTCCTGATTCAGGCCTCCTTCATGCAGAATGTGGTTGGGGGAGGTTGCTCCAGTTCCTAACACTATCACTTCTGCCCCAGTTGTACCCACTTGGGAAAGTCAATGTAATAAAACATACACTAATTCTTAAGCACATCTGTGCCTGACGCAATTAGAAATCTCAGCTCTTTTGGTGGAGCAGTGTGACTAGAGTCGAGGCAAATTTGATCTGATGCCTCTTGCTTAAATTATACATTTTTGCAAAAAAGAAAAAATGAAGTACATATTGAAGACCTCGAAAACATGCAATTACAGGAATTCAGTCCAGAAATTGCATGTAGAGTTCCAGACAAACCAACTGAATATGACAGCCAAGCTAGTAACACTAATTTGTTGGTGCCTTAGTGCATATTGTAGTTTATTAAATATGCAATAGCTCTACGTCAGAAATAACAATAAACATACCATAATTTAAAAATACTTCACTAATTAAAAAATGCAAAAAATCCTCTAAGCCTTCATTGAGTTGCATGCGCACTCTTTTTGCCTTCCTGTTGATGAAAATGCATTATCTCTGAACCTCAATAAAGCACACCGCAATAAAGAAGGGTATGCCCACGAGGATGTAAAGTACAGTATAAGAAGTGGAGTAGCCAAAGAATTTAAACGCATGACCCATGGACATGAACAATGGTGGGGGGATTGCCTGAGGGAGCAGGGTATGCTGGGGTAGAGGGAGGCAAAGGGGGAAAATCAGGACAACTGTAATAGCATAATCAGTAAAATATAATTAAAAAAAGAAAAAAATCAACCAATGAATGCCTAAAAAGTGGAACAACAATTTAATGTTTCTCTTGCACTCTCTTTCTTCATTTCCCTCTTTAGAATCAATAAATTTATAAAATAAAAATTTTTGAAAAATAAAAAAAGGGTATGCCCACATTGAAGACTCTGAGAAATTTTACCAGAGAAATAACCTAGTTACCCCATCATATATATGATGAATATACAGCAAAAAGTAGGGGAAATCTTTGAAAATAAAAAAGATGCATAATATAAATATAAATGAAAGTCTATTTGTAATTTAAATAGTAATTAGGAAAAGTTAATTGTTGATGAACTGGGAGAATTGAATTTTGACAAAGTAATTGGTATTTTTGTTAGTGTGAAAATGGGATTGTAATTGTCATAATTAAACAGAACTTGTGAGTTACAGACATAGTAAAAGATTTATAGCTGAGATGATGATAAGTGTGGCATTGTCAATGCAATAACATTAGAAACATATTCGGGAATTATATTTAAAGTAAATGAAGATGTACATAAGTATAATGAAAGCTGACCTATCTTTAGCTCAGAATTCTTTTATATCATGACATGAAATATAATAAACAAGAAATTTTGGGCTTCCCTGGACAGGTAGCTCAGTTGGTCCGAACACTGACCCAACACACCAAGGTTGTGGGTTTGATCCCCAGTCAGTACAAATATAAGAATCAACTAATGAATGCATAAATAAGTAGAACAACATATTGATGTTTCTCTCCCTCTCTCTCTCTCTCTATAAAATCAATACATAAATTTAAAACAGTATTATGAGTATGCATACATGAAATAAAAAATTAAAAATCAATAGTAATTTTTAAGATATATTTTCCTATGTAAAAATTTCAAGGGCTTTTTTCCTATCTCTCAGATTGCAATGGGTGTTGAGGTCTGTCTCAACTCACCTTTCACCACCCGGACAAGCTGAGACGTTTGCAGGTTCTAGAGATTGCAAAGTTTATGACACCCTTGATTCAAGACAACCCTTCAAACTGCATGGGCTCCCTGTGGGATTTCTGAGTACGTCCAGATTATGCCCTACCGGTCCTCCAGCAAAGGAGATCCCAGCTGACAAAGTTTTCAGATTGAACATGTGCCACATACCAAAATACAAGGAACACACGTTACTACCACTCTCAGTTTGGTGGGAGAGAGAAGTGTGCTTGTGTCTACAAGGAGAATGAAACGTTTTCCGAGCTGGTGGACACAGTGCATACAGGAGACCGCCTACCAGCAAAATCAGATGACCTTATCACAGCAGAACCTCTTGCAGGACAAATAACCAAGGAACAGGACACAGTTGAACCTGCAGACTCTGCCTAAGAGCACCAAGTTGAGAGAGAGTGAATGCACACGCCTGCAGAATAAATTCCAGAATCAATTTGGAGTAAGACACATGTGGGCCCGTATTTAACAAAATCAATGAGACTCTGAAGTTCATAGGAATTGGGAGCATACACAGAAATGGGTGTTCCTCAGTTAATAAAGACGCTCTACTTGTAACAGCTGCAGGACACCCAGTGATGTGTGGCCCTAGAATACTATGATAAAGCCTTTGAAAGCATCCCCACAAAAAAAACAAAACAAAACAACAACAAAAAAGGCAAGTCCCTGCGGAGCATCAGGAGCATCTTCCAGACACTTCCAGACAACCACAGACAACGCTCTCAGGTGAAAGCTGGCAAATACCTAGGGGAATATGTTGCCCGCCAAAGCCAATCTGGCCACACTAATGACCTGTGCCACTCTCTTAATTCCTTAATTCCAATTCTTTATTGTCGAGAGAGTCCAGTCCAAGGTCTTCTTTGACAAGAGGCACACCTCTGACTTTGGCCTTCTAACAGTGAGCGAGAGAGCTGATGAACCCCTCAGGATGAAGGTAATTTCTTCAGTTTGCCCTGCAACCTGGCCATGGAGTCAAACTACGTCAACCACACTTTCCCTAAGACCTAAATATCCCCTGAAGCAGATGAGATAATTAGTAAATGACGGTTGAAAAAATGAAACATGATGTAATGGCCTTCCTTCAATGCTTCTAGATTTCTCAGCTCACAACTTAACTGTATCTTTCTCAGCTCACTGATTTTCCTCAAGCTCTCATGAATAAAAAGGACCCACACTTTGTAGAAACCAGAATTTCATGGTAGCCAAATTTCCAGTAAAGCCATAGCTCAAGTTAATTCTCTCATTTCTTAGAACTCAGTGTTCCTTCTTTACCACCCTTTGAAAGTTACCTGTTCTTGGGCTTCATAGAGCATTTTCTCTTACAGCTCTTTAAATAATGCTCATTGTATAATGCCATAGAGAATCATTAATTGATTGCCTCTCGCTCACGCCTTGACAAGGAATGGAATCTGAAACCTCAATAAGTGCCCTGAGACTCTAACTTGCAACCTTTTACTTAGCAAGATAGTAGTGGCCCACCCCACTGAACCGCACCAAATCATAGCTAAGTATGTGTGTACGTGCATGTGTGTGTGTGTTTAAATATGTTATTTATTTATTTTGAGAGAGGGGAAGGAAGAGAGAAAGAGATGGAGAGAAACATCAATGTGTAAGAGATACATTGATTAATTGCCTCTCACACACCCCCAACCAGGGATCTGGCCTGTGACTCAGGTGTGTGCATGAATGGAACTGGTGACCTCTTGGTTCACTGGCTGGCACTCAGTTCACTGAGCCACACCAGCCAGGGTGTGTGTGTGGTGTGTGTGTTTTATATGTTCTGTGTAAAGGTAGTCTACTCTGAAGCCATCTTGGTAAATAACACCAACAGTGTGAAATTATGTAGAATTCCTTCAGCGTGATGCCAGGTTCCATTTGAAGTACATTTATAATCTGCTTGGGTACATAAGCCACCATCTTCAAAGATGTGTATTGGTGTATTCGAACTGATAGTCACTGTGTTGTGACCTTGAGGTCACTATTAAGCAGAGTCACAGAGTTAATTTGGTTATTAATGATTGTTTACATATCCAATACTTCTAAATTCAATTATGGTACCAGATAAAATCACTAATGGGAATGACATTTGTAGTAGTGCCCATTATCATGTGTAATCATTAAGTGATTTAATATTCTCTTTAAAAAAAAACAAATACTGAAAGGGAGGCAGAGGGATATATGAGTAGGGATCCCCCAAAAAACCTCCAGAATTTATTTATAAAAAATTGTGTATTTATTCTTACATGTTTAAACTCCAAAGTACTCTCCGTTTGATGCAATACACCTATCAAGATCTTTTTTTCCACTGCTCAAATGGTTTTTGAAATAATTGATTTTTATGGCTTTTAGTGTTTTTGCCATGTTTGTTTCATGTCTTCCACCAGGGCAAAATGTTTCTCTTTGAGGACTTTTTTTCATTTGGGGAAACAAAAACAAAAATAAGTCACTCAGGGCAAGATTTGGTGAATAGGGAGCAAGGGGCGGGGCAAATGGTTATGCCATTTTTGGTCAAAAGCTGGTGAATACTCAGCACAGTGTGGGCAGGTGAATGCGTAAATTATCCATCATAAAATGAGCAAACATGTTGACTCTTCAAAAAAAAATTCAATGAATTTAGGGCAAGGGAAAAAAAGGAAAAAATAGACAGATGGGACTACATCAAATTAAAAAGTTCCTGCATGGCTGAAGAAACCATCATCAAAGTGAAAAGGGAACTGACTAGATGGGAGGACGTGTTTGCCAATGATACAGTGGACAAGGGTTTGATCTCCAAAATATATAAAGAACTCATACAACTCTATACCAGGAAGACAAACAACCCAATTAAAAAATGGGCAAAGGAACTGGACAGACACTTATCCTAGGAGGACATACAGATGGCCAATAGGCACATGAAAGAATGCTCAGCATCACTAGCCATCAGAGAGATGCAAATGAAAACCTCAATGAGATGTCATGTCACACCTATCGGAATGGACATCATTAATAAATCAACAAACAAGTGCTGGTGAGGCTGTGGAGAACAAGGAACCTGAGTGTACTGTTGGTGGGAATGCAGAATGGTGCAGCCATTGTAGAAAACAATATGGAATTTCCTCAAAAAATTAAAACTGGAAATTCCTTATGACCCAGCAATTCCGCCATTGGAAATATACCCTAAGAATTCTGAAACACCAGTTCAAAAGAACTTATGCACCCTTATGTTATAGCAGCACTATTTACAATAGCTAAGTGTTGGAAACAGCCCAAGTGCCCATCAGTAGGTGAGTGGATTAAAAAACTGTGGTACATTTACACAAAGAAATACTACACAGCAGAAAGAAGTAAGTTCTATATTTTGTGATAGCATGGACAGAACTGGGGACTATTATTCTAAGTGAAATGATCCAATCAGCAAAAGACAAATACCATATGATGTCACCTGTAACTGGAACCTAATGCACAAAACAAACTGATGAGAAAAATACAACCAGAGACACGGAAACATGGAACAGACTGATATGTGTAGGATGGGAGAAGTGAGGTGGGCAATGGTGGAAGGAAGAGGAAAGGACTAGTCAAGGAATATGTATGAATGATTTACAGACATGGACAACAAAGAAGGAATTGAATGTGGGCAAGAGGGGTGGGCTGGGTGTAGGGGACAACATGGGAAAGAAAAAGAAATTGGACCAAGTATAATAGAATAAAAAAATGAATAATGTATAAATGCAATGTAGAACCTAGGTCAGATGCTGGAACAGAAAAATGGACATTAGTGGAAAACTGGTGATATCCAAACAAAGTCTGTGTTTTAGTTGATAGTATTGTACCAATAGTATTTTCCTAGTTTTGATTAATTCATGGCTACATGTTAACATTATAGGCACCTATGTAAAGGCTGTATAGGAACTCCTTTATAGACATATAGGAAGGGAATAAAGGAATATAGATTAGTGCTATGTTTGCAACTGTTCCATAAAGTCAAAATTATTTCAAAATTTAAAAAGATAAAAAAAATAAAATTGTATGTAAAAAATTTCACTGAACATGAATGCAGCCTCTCACAACAATGCCAGCTGGTACACTGATATTGATGGATTTTTAGAACACTCTCCTAGTGGGGGAATCTCCCTAGTGGGGGAATCTACTACAAGGGACCCACACTCCAGAAGATAATTCAAGTTTTTTGGGTCCACCTTGTATTCTGACAGTCTGTCAGCCATGGTGCCAACTCATTCACTTGCTTTAGGGCTGCCTAGGACATCCCCTCTAGGATTCTTCTACAAACCGTGTCGAGTATGGTTCCTATCATTGCTGAGTGAATACACCAAACCACTTCATGTTCATTGTAATATCTTTTACTTCCCAATAAAAAAGGTGTGTTAATTTTTTGAGTGAATATTAGTCTGTTAAGCAATTGTTGGATATGTATTGTTGACCTTTTCAGAACATGATTTGCAAACGGATTCTGTAGCAGTATTTTAAAAACATGTCTGTATGAGTGTGAGTGTAAAAACTTTCTGGAGGATTTAGTGAGACATCAAGATCCACTTGAAAAACATGCCAATAACAGCTTGTAAAATACAAGTAGCAATATAAACAAGCATGTAAAGAAACTTAAAGCTAAAGGGTGGGGATGATCTTAGAATTCAATAGGAGGAGATTGAACTGTGCCTGCAGATGGTCTGATACCTGATCTATGCTTAAGGGACCTTACCTGTGCCATGGTATGATTTTCTTTAACATGACTTACATAATTTTTCTTGTATAGATTAGATCCTAAAAAGTGTACTTGTATCTCTTCAATAACTGGGAAAATTGTTTTGGCTTACAACTACTTATAGGTTACCATGAAAATGCGATGACATCAAAACAATGCTCAAGTCCCACTTACGAGTGCTGCTCAGGGCTGCTCCATATGTTGAAAATGGACAATCTGTAACACTTAGAAGGGCTTTAGAGAGTCAGCACTAACCCAAGACATTCTACTGACAGCAGTGAGGAGAAAACAAGGAGAAGAGGGTCAATTTTCAGAATGTCCGTGCATGCCACTTGTTGACTTTAAATGGATTGTGTTGTATACACATCCATGATATCATAAGATCAGTTTGGAAATATCACCAAGATTGCTGCAGACTCAACCTGTACTCTGAAAAAGCCATCAGCCATAGCAATGTCCATTGGAAAATGCAGACATACACCGAATCTGATTTGGCTGATTGGCCCCTCTCTGGAACAATCAAGAATAGAATCTTAGTTGTGGCCAGAGTGCACTGAGCAATGGAATGAAAGTTTATGTTCAGAATAACTTATTCCTACCCAAGTAACTCCGGTGCATACATTGGGAGGTTGGAAAGGAGGATGTGGTTGCTGGTGATGGGCAGGGCTGCAGAGAATAGATGGTGCGCACCATTGTTTCCTCCAGCCAGTATTTGACAAAATATAATATCAAGTGGGCACTGAGTTTCCTGTATGAAAAGGTGAACAGTCCACCAAGGATATAACACTATAGGTCTCCACCATCACTTCTGAATATATCCTAGGTATCATGTCCAGCTGTCTTCAATATTGCAGAGTGGATCAGCAACATGTACGAAAAACACTCGTAGTGTCAAACTAAGGCACCACATTCACCATTATGGATTATATTCTAGTCTGTCATGCAAAAAATAAGCAGATGTGCAGAAGGACCTGGCTCTGATTTACCAGGATCTCTTTAGTGCTGAGATGTGTACTAAGCTCCATAAAGAGTAGACAAAATAAAGCTAAGGCTCAAAGTAATTTCCCCTTGGAGAAAAACTGGAAATGACACATAGGGTTCCTATGAAGACAGTGAGGCAGATGTTAAGCTCTCTATCAGTAAAATGTGGAAAAGCACGACAATTGCAACAATGAAAACAGCAGCCAGATGAGTTCCTCATTTTCCTGGCCTTTGCTGTCCTCCTGCCTTGTGCTAAGGGCCTAATATGGTATGGTTGAGATTGTTCCCAGCTCTAGAGCCAGGCTCACTAGATCGAATCTAGGGTCTTCAATCTGACCTCTGGCTGCTGTGTGACTTGGAAAAACCCCTTCCTCTCCCCATTTGTATTTTCCCCAGGAATACAATAACATCTACGAATCCCAGGGTTCTGTTAGAATAAAAAGAATAGTAACGATCAAAAAGCAAACCCTGGAATATTAATACCTGTTAAGTGTTCAGTGAGTTTCCTTACCTTCATTGGTTCTTCCAAGAGCCAGTCAGTGGTTTCATAAATTTATCAATGAAGTGAGTTTTGTGTAGTTTTATTGTCTCCTAGGGATGCTGTAGTGGGGCATTCATACTGAGACCAAGGAGCACTGAAGCCACCTTCCCCACGGGGAGGAGTCTGTGTGGACTGCAGCAAATATGGGGGATCTGAGAAGCTCCATTTATTTTCACAAGGACTTGGGTCAGAACGTCCCAGGAGTGACTGGCTTGTGGCTAGCACCCACCAGTGATAACTGGTGGTATAGCCACTATTTTGGAAATAAATACCAAGGCTGGGATTGTTTGCATGGCCAATGACACGGGCTGTGAAAGAATTCAGAGAAGAAAATGCAGAAAGCAAAGTTTCATTCACTTCCCAAGAGAGGAAAGGGGCCTAAATGCATGAGAAGTAGCACTGGTGGTGAAAGGTTGTGGCTTTGAGGGTTTTTTGGGGGTGATAAAGGGCAGCTTTGCAGCTGGGTAGTTATGGTAGTTACTTATAAAACAGGTTTCCAACAGATTGTACAGGCTTCAGTTTGGTCTTCTGTTAGCTTTGGGTTTAGGGTCCAGGAGTTTGCATCTAGCATGTGCTTTCTGAATAAGTATCTAAAATATCCAAATGGGGGATGATGAGTTCTGTAACATCTCCAGTGCTGACAGGAGAGGCTCAAGAAAACAAGTTAATTTGACCTGACAGGGTCAAGGAATGGATATGTAGCTCTGGTTTACAGTGCCTAAAAATTGGGGTTTGTCCTTTGAGGGATGATGGCTGTTCTTTAAAAAAAATTTTTATTTACATTCACTTATTTTCAGAGAGACGGTGAGAGAAATATTGATGTGTAAGAAACATCAATTTTGTGCTTTTTGCATTCCCCTAACTAGGGACCTAGTGCAAAACCCAGGCATGTCCCCTGACCAGGGATTGAACCTGAGACCATTTCGTTTGCAGAACACTTAACTCACTACGCCATTCAACCCAGGGCAAGGGTGCTTTTTATCCCTATTTTACATAGCAAATCCTGAGGCCCATAGAGTGCATCAATTTCCTGCAATCATAATGATGGTCTATAATCTAAGATTTAAACCCAAGTTGTATGGCCAAGGTACGAGGATTCCAATCATTGCTCTCTTGCCTTTAGCTTCTGGGAGGGCTAAGAAGCGCAACAAATACCTACCTGTTCATCTTCATACCACCTGCTGTACCTTCATGTTCTGCTGCAGCCCAGCAAACCCCAGATGATAAGAACACAGAAAGAGCTGAAGACTAAAAAGCAAGGCTTTATTATATTATTAAATGTTTGAATTTACAAAACAATGAAGTGTGTTAATGCAGTTTATTCTTTAAAGTATATAATACGTACTTACCACATTTTGTACAGAAAAAAAGAAAAAGAAGGAAAATCCAAGCAATTTGTATGTCTTTCACTATTAAAAACAGTTATACAAAAAAGTTATTCCATAAATCAAAAACGTTATTTCAAGGAATGAAAATGGCTGACATTACAACATAGATCTTGATACCTGTTGTTTCATTCTAACTTGTTAAAGGAGAGTAGCTCAATTTAATAAAAGAATAGGTAAATTATGTAAGCACACATTTTACTAAAAACACATCACTAGTACATACACTTCTGCAAAAATGCTCATTATAAATCCTTAGGGAAGTGCAACTAAAACAATAGAGCATAACAGAGCTAAAATTATAAAAATTAAACAAATCAAGATTTTGTTATAGAGTGGTAAGAGGCAACCCTCATACACTATAAGTATGAATGTATAAAGATACAATTAGTTTAGATCGTACCTTGTTAGATACTTCAAAATATAAACATTAAACTTCTGAGACATGTCCACACTGTGAGCATTTAAGTTTAAACTCACGTTTTGTTTTCTTCAGTGTCATTACACTGAAGAAAACAAAATTTCCTAAAATTTAACCATTTACGTAGGGAGACCTCTCCAATGTCAAAAGGGTATGGACTTATGCCTAAAGATTGCCTATATTCACTTCTTGCTTGAAGCCTTTAACCTGTGTGAACTATGATTAAGGCATCTATGACTATGAGGCAAAAGATGTCCCATATATGATGCCCCTATAAGACCTATCTCCTGTGTAATCTGATGATTAAGAAAGGAGAAAGGATAGAAAAGAACATCCCACATTCCCTGTACTCACGCCTTTTACCAGATTGAAATGTCTGAATATAATGGAGGATAGTGCTACGAAATAAAACTCTCATCTTGAATGTACATAAAAATGTTTCTCCTGTGTGACTTCTCAGAAGATAACAAAGGCAATGGATAGAAAATACAAGATTTCCCAAGTTTTCTTTAGTTATAAGAATTAAGACATTGTGAATTCTCTAATGACAATGAAGAGAATGAATACAGTTAACAGATTTCTCATATTCACATCACTTAAATTACATTTCTGCAATTTAAATTCTATCATACTAGTGGAAATCACTGATGCAAGAAAAACACTTCCTAAATTCACTGCAGGCATAAGGCTCTTTTCCAGGGTCATCTCTCTGATGACAACAGAGGAGACTGCTACAGAAAAAGGGTTTCCCACTTTCATGCACTCATAAGGCCTTTTTCCAAAGTGAAATCTCTAAAGGAAGGTTACCAATGAAACGAAATTTTCCACATTCTCTGCATTCATAAAACTTTGCTCCTGTGTGTTGTCTGATTACAATGATTAATGCTACAGATAAAAGATTTCCTGCATTCCCTGCCCTCATCGGTATTTCTCTGGAGTGAACTTCTGATAGTAATGGAGATGACTGCTACAGATAAAGGATTTCCCACGTTCAGTACACTCATAAGGCCTTTTTTAAGTGTGAACTCTTGTTTAGAGGGCAGAGCTACTGGTATAAGATTACTCACATTCACTCAACTCATAACAACTTTCTCCACTGTGAACTCTGTGATGTTTACAAAGTTCTGAGAGACTGGTAAAATATTTTCCATATTCACCACACTTAAAAAGCAATTCTTTATTGTGAACTCTGTGTCATAACAGAGGGCAGAATTACTGGTAAAAGATTTCCCACATTCACTGCATGCAAAAGGCCTTTCTCTAGTTTAAACTTTCTGATGACAGAAGGTAAAGCAATGGGTAAAACATTTCCCATTCTCACCAAACTCATAAGCCTTTTCTCCAGTGTGAAATCTGATGAGAATGAAAGTAATCTTTTTTCTTAAAAGATTTCCCACATTCACCACACTCATAAGGCCTTTCTCCAGTGTGAACTCTCTGATGACGAATGAGGCCAGATTTACAGGTAAAAGATTTCCCACATTCACCACACTTGTAAGGCCTTTCTCCAGTGTGAACTCTGTGATGATAACGGAGGGATGAGCTAATGGTAAAAGATTTTCCACATTCACTGCACTCATAAGGCTTTTCTCCAGTGTGAATTTTCTGATGATGACGAAGGGAAAAGCTCCTGGTAAAAGATTTTTCACATATACTGCACTCATAAGGCCTTTCTCCAGTGTGGACACTCTGATGATTACGGAGGGCAGAGCTACTAGTAAAAGATTTCCCACATTCACCACATTTGTAAGGCCTCTCTCCAGTGTGAACTCGGTAATGATAACGGAGAGACGAGCTAATGGTAAAACATTTTCCACATTCACTGCACTCGTAAGGCCTTTCTCCAGTGTGAACTCTGTGATGTTTACAAAGTTCAGAGCTACTGGTGAAAGATATTCCATGGTCACTGGATTCATAAGGCCTTTCTCCAGTGTGAACTCTCTGATGATACTGGAGGGAAAAGCTATAGGTAAAAGATTTTCCACATTCACTGCACTCATAAGGCCTTTCTCCATTGTGAACATTCTGATGATGACGGAGTGTAGAGCTTCTGGTAAAAGATTTTTTACATTTAGTGCACTTATAAGGCCTTTCTCCATTGTGGACACTCTGATGATTACGGAGGCCAGAGCTACCGGTAAAAGATTTCCCACATTCACTGCACTCATAAGGCCTTTCTCCAGTATGAATTCTCTGATGGTATCGGAGGCCAGAGCTTCCAGCAAAAGATTTCCCACATTCACTGCAATCATAAGGTCGTTCTCCAGTGTGAACACTCTGATGATTACGGAGGCCAGAGCTACCAGTAAAAGATTTCCCACATTCACCGCACTCGTAAGGCCTTTCTCCAGTGTGAACTCTCTGATGATACCGGAGGGCAGAGCTAAAATTAAAAGATCTTCCACATTCACTGCATTCATAAGGCCTTTCTCCAGTGTGAATTCTCTGATGAACACGGAGGGAAGAGCTGGTGGTAAAGGATTTCCCACATTCACAACACAAAATACATTGTCTTTCTGTAAGGAATCTCTGGTCCTCAACAAGTGTGTCATCACAGCCAATGGCTTTTTTGCATTCTTTTTGGATGTGATATTTTGTAGTCTGAAAAGTCATTACAGACTTAGAGATGTCATTTGCCCTGGGCCTGGTGTGAGCAGCCATTTGCTCAAGGTGTCTTGAGCTGATGAGGAAGCACTTTTCAAACTGACGAGAGGTACAAGGATTCCAAGACACATGGAAATTGCAGCTCTTCGCAAGTGAGACCCTGTCAACACTACTGATGAAACAATTCTTCGCTTTCTGTTCCTTCTGGTCCTGGTAACTCTGTGCACTGAAATAATATGGTTTTGCACATGCCCCACAGCTCAGCACCATTGGTTTCTCTTGTATTCCCTGCTGTTCAACCAAGAGGAAAATTTCTCTCAAGATGAACCCACAACTCTCACAGGGGTGGCTCTTCCGGGAAGACAGTGCTGACTTAATATTCTTAGCCCTTGAGACTCCTGCAGAAATATTCTCTTGAATGGCTGCCTCCACCTCTTCTGTTCCACAGCAACAACCTGAACAAAAACAAACATTACTGAAGTACATACTGACCTATGAAGGGGGGTTTTCTCCTCACAAATATGCATCTGCAATGCCTGGCATAATTCTATGTGATGATTTCCAAAACAAGTGAGACAGGCACTGAAAAAAAGCCCCTTAGTTTAGTAAATAATGGGCAACTCATTAAATGAAAGACACTAGCATAGGAAGGGACACAAGGAAGAGAGGCTGGGTCTTATAAGAAGTTCCCCTAATGTGGGCTGCCTGCAAAATCCTTCCTTCTTGTGATGTAAGGCTGTGTAGAGGAATATTAATGTATGTAAATCCATGAAAATCAACAATAGCAAATCAGGTGTTGTTCCAGGTTAGTACAGAAATGTGTACACACTACAAGGTGCAACAGACATTGATCGAAGTTGGAGAACATACCTGAAAGACCCCTCTGGGAAATGGTTGTGGTGTAGAGGTTAGAGAGGCAGAGAATATCCATGGCTGGAAGTCAGGGTAGAAATGAAAATTATGCAAAGTAACTAACAGCAATATGTCACCATTGGGAAAGGACAAGCAGATTAAACTGTAGCACCAGTAATGGTGACAAAGTACAGTTAAAGGGAATAGGTTCCTCACTATGCTTTAATAAAGCCTTGGAGCCAAATTCTCCCCAAGTGCCATTCACCGACTCCAGACCACCTCTGAGTCCATCCTGTCTTGGATGGATTCCAGTCCCTCTTGTGTTACACAAAGGACTCTTCCACTTGACTCACCATTGATCAATTATGTGGACTACTGATGATGCAAATCTAAAGAAAGCAGAAGAGATGAATAACCAACACTTGTCATAAAATTCTGCACACGCAAAAAAGAAAAGATCTATGTGGGTATGACAACAGCAAGATGGCAGAATAAAAAATACAAGTATTTAACCCTCTTCAAGAATAATTAGACAATTATCCACATAAAACAACATCCCTTCAGGAAAAGAGGAGAGGCTACAGAGACCAGCTATTCCAAAGAGTTACAAGGTGGAGCATAATACAAAGAGCTATGCAAAATAATAGCAGGAAAGCCCTGGTTTTTGTGGCTCAGTGGATTGAGTGTCAGCCTATGAACCGAAAGCCTGCATGTTCGATTCCCATGGCACATGGCTGGTTTGCAGGCCAGGTCCCCAGATGGATGTATACAAGAGGCATGAGATCTATGCATCTCTCACACTTCGACTTTTTCACTCCTTTTCTTTCTTCCTCTCTTTCCTTCTCTCCAAAAATAAATAAATAAAATCTTAAAAAAAGAAAAACAATAGGAAGATAAACAGCTTAACAAACAGGGTTAGAGTCAAAACAGGGGCAAGAACTCGGAGACACTGCACTTGTGCTACCATTGACTTTAGTGGCCTGTTTTGTGCCACCAAAGACTCCAAAAGAGATCACTAAATATTTGAAACACTGCAGTCCTGGCCACTGAGGATCCATTAAATCATCACTAGCTGACCTGTCTCATGGCACAGCAAAAAGAATGGGAAGTGAAACTTCCCACTAGCCCCAAATACAACACACCACCTAGCAAGTACTCCTGTATGCATATACAGGAAAAACTACTCCTCTAAAAAGAATTAGTTCCTGAAGTCCAAAAAGGTAACTGCTTCATCAAATATCAGACACCAACACTAAGACAAAAGAAAACATGAAAAAAAATCACAAAGGAACATCACAATTTTAAAGTGAATTGAACCCAAAAAATGGAGGTATGTAAATTGCCAGAAAAGTAATTCAAATAATCATTTTTAAAAACATCAGTGAGGTACAAGCAAATACACATGGAATTGAACATAATATGGGAACAAAACACAGGGTCAGAGAAAGAGATGACATAAAAAAGAATGGAACAGATATTTGGGAATTGAAGAATACAATGAATAAAATGAAATATGCAAAAGAGTTTCTTTTTGTTTTAAAATGCAGATTGATTTTATTTTTTCAATGTAAACATCCATTATAAAATATTAAAAAATTTAAATCCATTATAAAGTCTCAGCCATGAAAACAACATAACACCAGCACAACAATAATCAAGTAGATGAATGAAATAAAACGAGGATTCTAGAAACAAATGCATATATCTAACAATGTAATATATGATTAAACTGATATTTCAAATCAATGGGGAAAATAAGGCTTATTCAACAAATAACGTGCATGGACTACCATTACTTGAAATAAAACAAATATAGAGCCCTATGTTATACATTATAAAAAAAAATATCCAGGTGAGTTAAAAATCGATATGTAAAATCTAAGGAATTTTAGGAGAATATATAAAATATTATTTTTATTACCATGAAGTAAAATATTCAAACTCAGAAACTATAAAAATATTGACAATATGACTATATTAAACATTTAAGACTACAGAGTAATATACATATAAAAAAAGTTAAAGGACAAGTAATAGAATAGGAAAGTATTTGCAACACATCTAAAAAAGGGTTAATAGTTGTTTCTTTCTTAGGGAAAAAAATTCTATAAACATTTAATAAAAAAAAATGGATGAAGAATACCAAAAAAGTCATTTAAAGCTTTTTAAAAATAGTAGAAATAGGCAAGAAATACACAAAAACAGGTTTAGTTTCAACAAATAAGTAACAAAATGACACATCATTGTCACAATCAAATTAGTAAGTATTAAAAGTATTGGTAATTTCGAGTATTGGTGACTGTGCAAGGAACTGGGTATTCATAGACTTTTTTTCTTCATCATCTTAAAGAAGTCCCTTTAGCATATCTTGGAATGCTGGTTTGGCGGAGGTGTATTATTTTAGCCTTCTTATGTCGGGGAAACTCCTTATTTTACCTTCAATTTTAATTGAAAGCCTTGCTGGGTATAGAGCAGTCTTCATTGCAGGCCTTTGTTTTTCATGACTTGGAATATTTCTTGCCACTCCCTTCTGGCTTATAGTGCTTCTGTTGAGAAGTCAGCGGCTAGCTGTACTGGGGCTCCCTTGTATGTTACTGTATCTCCCTTACTGACTTTACAATTCTGTTTGTCTTTGATATTTGCCATTTTATTTATGATGTGTCTTGGAGTGGGCCTCACTGGGTTCCTCTTGAACAGGACTTTCTGTGCTTCCTGGACTTGGGCGACTTTCCCCCTCCTCCAATTAGGGAAGTTTTCAATTACTACTTTTTTAAACAGATTCTCTAACGCTTCCTCCACTTCTCCTTCTGTTATCTCTATTATAGAGGTATTATTATGTTTCAGGTTGTCCTGCATTTCCCTAACTGCCTCTTCATTCTTTTTGAGTCTTTTTGCATTTTCTTGCTCTTTCTGGGAGCTTTTTTCTACCTTATCCTCCAGCTTGCTGACTTGCTGATTCGATCCCGCTTCATCTAGACTGTGTTTGATTCCTTCTACTGTGTTCTTCAACCCGAAAATTGTATCCCTCATTTCCTCTTGTCTCTTGTTGGTAGTTTCTATGTCTTTTTTCATGATGATATAGTTTGCAGTAAGTTCCTTGTAGTTTCCCTGTAGTTTTTTGTAATTCTCTCTGTGCTCACTGAGCTTCCTTAGAACCACTGTTTTGAACTCAGTATCTGATAGTTTAATTGCTTCTATTTCATTTAGTTCTCTTTCTGGGGATTCCTCCATTCCCTTCAACTAGGAGGTGTTTCTTTGTCTTCCCATTATTTGTGAGACTCTTCTTTTTTGCTTCTGCTTCTTAAATTGATCTGCCTTGATTTCCTGACTTTGTGGTGTGAACTTCTACGGTAGGAGACCGTTGCTTTTTCTTTCTGGATCTGCCTCTGATGATGTCAGATGTTGACCCTATCTGACCTTAGGCAGTCTGTTCAAGACTTGTAGGAATCTGTCTGTGGCTGTCACCTTCAGTTGCTAATCTAGTCACTCTGCACTCAGCAGTCAGGCTTAGACACCATGCGGGGTGGTGGGGGCACAACACAGAAAGTCCCTTCTGGGGATGGGGTTATTGGGTCCTCTCATACTGCTGCTGCTCAGGGGCGGGTCCACCTGAGCAAGATGGCTGCTGCCATACGGGGATGAGTCAGCACCGGGATCCCACCCGTTACTTTCTCAGTTCTCTCCCCAAAGCCTCCTTCCCTAGTCTCTTCTTTGGTGTCTCTAGCTCACTCTGCCCCCATCTTTGCCAGAGACTAGGGTAGATGGCTGCAAATAAAAATTTATGTGTTGGCCCTTTAAAAGACTCTGTGTCTCCAGCCACCCGTCTCTGGCAAAGAGCAACCCTGACACTTTTTGCAGCTAGTTGTTATCTGTGTGCTTTTTGGGCTCTGGTGCTGTAGGCTGGAGATCCCCACTTATGGTTTAGACACCGCTCTTCCCACAGGGATCCAACTGGCCATTTCAAATATCCTTCTGGTGCTGCCTTCTGTGGGTACCCCACCTGCCTTCTCGAATTGCTACCGCACTTCTTAGGTTGTGCTAAAGCTGAGTCTCCTGTCTGTCTGAGGTTGCAAGGCTTCTCTTTCACTATTGTTTCAGTTGTTTGTTCCCGGTGATTTTCTCCACAATTTAGTTGTAATTCCAGATTGGTCCCGGGAGGAGGTCAGTGTGACTTCCATTCATTCCTCCGCCATCTTGATATTCCAAAGAGTTTCAAAAGTAGACAAGATTAAGTAAAATGAGTATGTTACCTCTGAGGCAGGTTTTTAAAATCATCCATGAAGAAAAAAAAATTAACGACGGCCTGTGTGAATACTGAACACCATACAGATAACCCTATATTTGCATTGTGGGTGTCCCAGAGGAGGTAAAAGGAAGTGAAAATGAGAGAGAGATAAACAGGAGCAAAAGCATAAAAATTTTATTTTAAAAAATAAGCTAAAGATTGACTTAAAAATATGAAAAAGAAATGTGAATAGCCATGTTCAAGATCCTCCCAGGTCCCTGTATAGATTCAATGCAAACAGAACTTACGCAAGGCACATTATAATAAAAGTGTCAAAAATCAGAAGAAGAAAAATTTTGAAAGACCAAAGATGATAGAAACTCCTCATCTAAGGACAATATTACCAAAAGGCTATCAACAGGTTTCCCCGAAGAAACCTTGCAGGCTTGGAGAATACCAAATGGTATATTCAAAGCACGAAAAGAAAACAACTGCAAACCAGAAAAACTCTTCCTCAGAAATAAGATCTTTGAGCTGAAATAAAGGCATACTCTATAGAAACATGAAACATACCAAAGTGTAAAACTCTGATAAGGCCAGGAAAGTCATCAAATTCACAATACTAAAACAGTTCATTGGTGAAGTATACTTTATTTTGTAGAAGATAAAAATGAAGTGTATTAAGAATAATAATGGTGACAATAATTTGTGAATAGATATATAATATAGAAAGATGTGAACTGTGACACAAAATGTATACCAGGGTGATTTATCAGAGTGAGAGTAGAATTTTTACATTCAGTGGAAGCTGTGTTCAGATTACAATAAACTGTTAGAGGCAGGGATGGTGGTATAAGGGGACCAAATGGTAATGGGAAAAATATAATAATGATTATATTAAAAACTGTTTAGAGTATGAGTTGCTTTATGGGAGTGAAAAGGAAACTGGAAACCACCAACACAATCCTGTGTAATGCATACACATAAGAAGGAATCAAAGCACACCACTAGAGAAAAGGATCAAATTTTAAAAAAGCAAGAGAGGAAGACAAAAAAGGAACTACAAAAGAGGGAGAAAACAATGACAAGGTGGAAACTGTAGGTCCTTCAAGAAATTCTCCAATCAAAACACACAGGGGTGGAAGGGATAAAAAGCATTTGAGATCTTGCTTCCTAGCTTCTGTCATCAGTTTGGCTCAAATAAGTGCTTAACAAATTCTCATGATGGGTAAAAAAGGTGAAGGGATTAAATAGTACAAAACTGGAGTTACAGAATAGTCATGGGGATGTAAAGTGCAGCATAAAGTCAGTGCCATTTGCTATGGTAGCACCATTTGCTGAGCAGGCCTATGACCATGTTAAACATGACTGTCATTTTACTGTTCTGAGCTTAGTTCTCCAAGACTGGAAATTACTGGAAAGCAAGAACACACCCTGAGTAACTGTTTCCTACAGCCATAGGCAGAAGATAACACTGGAACAAACTAGAGCCCCAACAGCCCAGAGGCCACAAAACCCTTCCCGCCCCTTTTAATCCAATTATAATCCAAAAAAAGGTGACACCCTCACCCCTCAGTACTGGTGCATCTCTCCACACCATGCCTCTAACCTTTCTTGGAGAGTGAATACAAACTGTATTCCCTAGACTTTCTTCTCTTTGTGAATTCTTTCATAGCCCATAGCACAGACCACCCAAACAGGGAATATAGTCAGTAACACTCTACTAATTATGTATGGTGTCACACAGTTGTGAGATTTATCGAGATGATCACTTAGTAAGTTATACAATGTGTAATCGTGAAACTAATATAAAAATGTATGTCAACTGTATTTAAAAACAAAAAAAACTATAGAAATAAATTGAGGCCTGGCTGGCTTCCCTTGTATTAAAAAAAAAAAAAAATCCTCACAAGACACAATATATGCTGCTTCTAAGAGACTCACTAAATCTTTATGGACACAAATACATTGAAAATAAAGAGATGTAAAAAATATTCCATGCCAGTAACACCAAAGAGATCAGGAGGATAACAATTTTAATTACTATGCACCCAACCACAGAGCACCTAAATACATTAATGAAACAACATGAGATCTGAAGGCAGAAAATGCAATGTAATAGTACTAGACAATTTAAGTATTCCCCTTCCAACAATGGGTAGATCATCCTGTTTGAAGCAATTTAGGAATTACAGCAGTTTCAAACCACTATTAAGAAAACAAAACTACTACATATATGCATAGTATTTTACCCAGCCCTAGCCAAGTGGTTCAGTTACTTAGAGCACTGTCCTGTTTCAGGAATAGGTTGTTTATTTGAGCCCCTGTTTAAGGTGTATATGGGAGGCACACTTAGATGCCTCTCTTTCTCTCATTGATGTTTCTCCTTCTCCCTCTCTTCTTTCTCTAACAACCAAGGAAAATATTTTCCAGTGAGGATGAAAAACATATATAGTTGTAGTGCCCTGGCTGGTGTAGCTCAATGGATTCCATGACAGCCTGCGAACCAAAGGGTCACTGGTTCAATTCCTGATCAGGGCACATGCCTAGTTTGCAGGCTGGGTGTCCAGTGGGAGCCACGTAAGGGATAAACACACACTGATGTTTCTCTCCCTTTCTTTCTCCTTCCCTTCCTCTCTAAAAATAAATAAATACAAAAAAAATCTTTAAAAAATGTAGAGTTGTAGAAATATCAACCAGAATATAAAAAATACTTTTTTTCTTTAACCCATGAGAAATCCATTATGCTTCTGTCAACACTACTGACCTCAAATCCTTCCCTATAAGGGTTCAGCACAACAGGTATGGGGCTGCAGGAAACAAGGGTGCAATGCAAGCAAACTATCCCCGCCAATTCAAGGATTTAGCCAAAAAACTGGGGAAGAAAATAGTGCTCACAGTTCACACGTGAGGACAGAGGGAACCCTGGGAACATAGGGCACAGGGGAATTGTAAACCCTAGTCATGGTCACCTGAAGAGAGAGAGGGTTTTTATTTTTTTATGAAAATGTCCATTAGTTTATTAAAGTTTCGGGCAATGAAGCAAAAAAACCCCCACCATGCTAACATGGGAGGGGGGAAGCCCTTGAAAGTCTATGTACTGTTTCCACTATCTTGGAAAGAAAGCCTTTGAAACTGTGCTTTCATCCCAAGGTCTGGAAGAAAAGCAGAGGCGGGTCCACAGTGCCCAAAGAAGAAGGTTCATAAAAAGCGTGGTTAATTGCCTGTCTCTGGTCACTATCTGATTTATGAGGGGGTCCCCATACATAGCTTTGGGTAGGTGCCTCAACTTTAATGTTCTGCATCCTGTTATGTATTTGTATACACCAAGATGACCAAATGTGGTCTGAAACAAGATGGCAATCGGGCTAAAAACCCACCTGCACATACATAGTTTTGGATGGTCTCATTTCCCCAGGGGAAGCTGGCATCACCTTTTGCTGTCAATCAATATGTAACTCCCACATCCCCATTCCGCCAACTATGTAAGTTCTCAGGACAAAGAACCTGATGTTTTTTTGCTGCCCTTACCTTGCCATGCCCTGAACCTACGTCTTTCACTCCCACCTCAGCAAGGCCTGCTATCTTCCCTGAGAATGCATCACTAATACACTATGCTTAAATGCTAGAAGACTGCTAATCTAATTCTTTATTACATCTTGTGGGAAGGGTGGGTGAAGGCAAGTGAAAGAGGGGCATGCAGAGAGAGTGAGTGTCTTACCCAGCGAAGATACAAGAGCATAGTTTTCCAGCATCACATTGACGTACAGGCATCTCTGAGCCTCATCAAGGAGGCGCCATTCGGTCCTGGAGAAATACACAGCGACATCCTCAAAGGTCACAACAACCTGTCAGAATTAACACAAATAACTCTGGAAAAGTTTATCTGAGACCCCACAATCCTACTCTTCCCCATAACCAACCCTTTGCAGGGCCCCCAAGTTGGAAAAGACACCAGTCCTTAGTGCCAGGGATGCCTACTGTCTCATCACAATCTCATTAATCACTCTCATTGCCCTCAGCAAAGGCAGGCAGGGTAAGAGAAAGTAGGGCAGATAAATACCATATATTTTGGGGCTATGCCTGCAGGACCCCATTTTTTCTGTTTAGCAATTTCACTGAGTCTCCCAGATCATGCCTCTGAGGCACAGCCAAACATGGGTTTATGCTTTACCCTTATGTCCCCACACCAGGTACCAAGGGCCATCAGCTCACACTTCCTCTAGTTGTGCACACCACTGTGTGATCTCTGTCTCCTTCATACCTCCAAACCTTCACTCCCAGGTACATGTCCTCAGCTACACCAACTTTGCCCTCATGCTCAACAGCCACCACTTTCCCTTGACTCCATCCTTGACTCTTCTTCATTCCAGACCCATGTGTTCTGCTGCTCACTGGATATTTGCACTCACTGCTCTTTGAAACTTTTAAAAGTGCAAACCAAAACAACCCTCTGATATTCCCAAAGAGAATTAACCTATCACCATTGTCCCCTGCCCAACTTATTCAGCCTCCACTGCTTCAGCTGCTATGACTAAAAATGCTGGGGTGGTTTTGAACACTTTCCTTTCTCTCCTGTAGCTGCAAATTCTGAAACTTTACTTGTACTTATTTATAAAAAAAAGGAGTGAGGAGAGATGGAAGAGGGTATAAGGGGGATAAATAGTAATGGAAAAAAATGCAATAAAAAAACGGACCAACAATCTAACCTTTCCTTCTACCTCTAAGCCTAACGCTGTTTCATAATCTGTCCTTGCATCACAGAACTTTCCTGGTTGTGGACTCCCTACGTCCTTTTTTAACCCCCATATTTTCTACTATGCAGCCAGACATAGCCTGTTAAACTCAGGAGAGACCAACTCATTTTCTTATGCAAATGGCCAATCTCATTTTTAATACAAGGAAAGGAGACCTGAGGTACCCATTCCCAGCTCTGTGGCACCTCCAAGTATCTGCATGTGCAAGTGTCTCTCCCTGGATAACTTCCCATGAATGCTTCCATGGGCTGCCAGAATGGACGGAAAGAAAGGGGGAACCACATGCCAAAACTGACCAGCTTATGAAAGTCCATCATGATGGTTTTACAAACTGAGAGGCTGACAGACAATACCTGCAAAGATGATCTGAAATTAAAACTTTCTAACTAAAAATGAGTAATAGTAAGTTTTGTCCTAAGCCTGTATCTTATCCGAAGAAGGTCAATTATTACCTTCACTGAGCCTATTTTTGTATTGTTGCACCTCTGTTAGCATACCTTTGGAATGTCAGGGTAATTTTGTTTCTTATCCCTCAGGGCATGAGAACAGAGACCATAAAATCCCGCATTGTTCTTCTTATTACTAATCAACTGACTATCCTAAATCCATCAATGTAAAAGAACACTTTCACTTTTTATCTACTATCAGAGTTTCCTTCTTTGTTTTCTCCTGCCTCCCTAACATATCATCGATTGATTTCAAGTTCCCCACTTGTGTCTTCCCTTTTGATTCTGATGTATAAAGTAAGTACAACTGCCATATTCAAGAGGATCTCTCTCTATTGAGATTTTGTTTCGTGGTAATCATCATCAGTTCGGTAAAATAAACTTTTAAAAACTCTAAAAATTTGAATGTTTCTTACATTGACAGCAGAAATGCGAGCACTTCGATATTATCTGAGACCCACACTCAGGATTGAGGTATCCGTAAGATCCCCTCACCTGAGCTGGGAAACAATGAAGGGAACAGTCTTTGGACACTATACAATTATGTCACCACCAAGGAGGGACTGGGACATGCTTTCCTTTCTTGTCTAGTTTGATAATGATTTTCAACTTCAGAACCTGTGGGAAGATGCAATCAATCACCCTCCCGGCCGAGTCCTGGAGTCAGGTGACCTCAGGACAAGTGTCTCCTCAGAGCAACCACTTACCATCCCTGTGACCTTGAACACTGCTCCTTTTCCTGTGCCTCTCTGTCCTCATCACCTCATTAGAGTCGGTTTTCTATCTCAGCAGGATTTAAAAGGCTTTCATAACCATGACACAGCCTGTGTCTCTCTGGGTTCACGACCATCCAGGGCTCCCAGGACCGTGAGAAAGAAGGCACAGCCCCTCTGCCACCCAGTCGGAACATGACTCCGCCTCAGACTGTTTAAAGCAAACGTTAGGCAGAGGCCAGGTTTGCGGGTCCTTCAGAATCAGTGGCACCTCTGCGTCGTTAGACCGCAGCCCCTCAGCCCGTCACCCACTCCTACCCCCACCACACTGTGTGTCACCCACGAGCGCCTCACGGTCCCGAGACCGGGGCTGCAGGACGTGACGAGTGCCCCGTACCCCCGCGGCAGGGCGCGGTGACCTGAGGGGGGAGGGCCTGGGGACGCGCACTCACCTCAGCCGGGCGCCTCAGCGTGGCCGCCGCCAGCGGACTCTGTGGGCGGAGCGGGGCCATAGTGGCGGGCCAGGCGGGGGCGCCGTGCACCGCGGTCCCCATCCTGGACCAGGCCCCGGAGCCTCACAGTCGCCTTTGCAACACTGCAACCAGGTCTCCGCTCACGAACACCTTTACTGCGGCCCAGCGCTCAGCTTCCCTTGACCGCTGAGGTGTTCTGGAGAGAAGGCAAAATGCCCGCCAGCAGGGCGACGGAAGTCCCACCCACATGCGTTTGGCCCCAACGGAAAACCCTTTTCTGAGCCTTTATTGGCTCAGGCCTGAACAGCCTTCTGGGTACTGCGGTTTCTAGAGTCCTAGACGGTGAAAAGGGGTTTCCCACCTGATTCCGAGAGAAAAACCCAGACTATTTGGGAGAACTACTAGGAGATACCTATCCTGGTCCAAAAGAGATCTCGAAAATGATAAAAGAAAGATGTCCTCTGTTTCTGGTGACGGGTCTCGTGTGCAGGATGATGAACGTGCATTATCGCTGCGACTCCACACAGCCAGTCATAGTAATAAAAGGAGATTCTGCAGCATCACAGGGTCTGGAAAATTTTATCAGAGAAATGGCCTATTCACAGCATCACATACATGACAGAGATAACACAAGAATGTAACTCAAACGTTTGATATAAAAAAGGTCTAAGGTACAAAATATAAACTTAAATGGAAGTCAGGTGTTTAGTTATAAACATTAAGAAAAATAATTTTTTGAAAAGTGAGAATTGAATTCTGATACATTCGTGTTATTTTAATTTCAAAATGATAATTGCAATTATCATGAGATCTACTGTGCATGCATATTTAAGAGCAGAAGTGACATGTTTCTCACATTCCTAATGGAATAAGATGAACCTATTTATAAATTATATTTAAACAAATCACATATTCATAGTCAATCTATATATGCCTCAGAAACTTAAAAAGCACATAAAATGTTAGAATTAACAAAAATATGGGCATATATATGTGCAATACTATCGAACATCAATAATACTGTAAAAAGCCCGTCACTTAAAAGTTTGGAGCAAATATCACATTAAAATATAAACCAGAACGTGAAAAACATTAAAACTAAGTAACATAAGAGAGGTGAAAAAAATCTAAAAACTTATCAGGTATTATTTAAAAATCACTTTTCAGAAAAAAAAACAAAAACAGTATTTCCAGCACCATGCAACTGGCATAATGGTCATAGAAATGGTTGGACACTCCAGCCAAGTCCAAACATGGGAAAATTGTACTATATTTTTATAGTCCTTGGAACAGCACCCTGATCTAATCACATCCTTCTCCCTGTTTTCAATGAGAGCTCTTAAAATACTCAGGATCCGCGTACTTGTCATTTTGGTGTGCTGCTTTTTTCATGTTTCGACAGTACCTATCACCTTAAAGTTTATAGTAAGATAAAAAATATTTATATATATATATATGTATTTTTTTTTTTACTTCTTGGCTAGCCTTCAATTAAGGCTTTGAAAAAGCCAGGTTGCAAACACATTTATTTATTCATTGATATGTAAAACAGAAATAGAAGAGCTTCTGAATCAGATTAAGTATAATAATTACTAAATGATTGTTGAAGAAGTAAAACATGATGCCGCGTCTTTTCTTCAACTCTATTTTGTTTTTTCTGCTAACAACTTGCTATCTTTGTCACCTAAGAGTTGTTTCTAAGTTCTCGTGAATTAAAAGGACTCACACTACTTGTAGAAACAACAATTTCATGGTAGCCAGGTTTCCAGCAGAGTCATGGCTCAGGTTAAATCTCTCCTTCTTAGAAGTCAGTGTCCTTTATTGGCCACACATTGGGTCTTACCTCTTCTCAGCCTTAATAGAGCCTTTTCTTGTCTACCAATATAGGTAATTCTCATTGTATAACTCCATTAATCAACAGGAATACCTTTCTGTACTCTGACCTAATTTTTTGATACAATTCACCACACAAACATGGATGCCTACATCATACCGCTTCTGGCAGCAAATATAAAATTGGTATATAACCAATATTCCCAGATATATGTCATATTCTTAGTAGGTTGAGATAAACCATATCTGAGAAAATTCCATAAAAAATGTCATGTGATAAAAACAGTGAAATCATGCCTCAGTCAAGACTCTTCAAATTCTATACATGAAATATATTGTTCACTATTTAAAACCTTTTTAATAAATGGCTCAACATAAAATATCTATAAGCCTAACAGTTTTTAAAAATAGGTTTGGAAACTATTCAATCCACGTTCACCTGCACTGTGGGGGTAGTACCTCTCAGTGACACTATGGCAAACAATGAACATCTTTCACTTAACAGGAATGTTGACTAGGTCAAAAGAATCACAGTCATGGCCAATAGATAACACTTTTTTGTAACACTGATTTCCTGCCTGGACATCAATAATCTTCAGATAAACATCTGAGAAGGCAAAGAAATCTGCAAAGTCTTCTGATGATTTTCAATGACAATGACTTTGGCCATAAAAATAAACTTGCCTGGAGATCCTCAGATTTGTGAACACACTGATCCGGCAGTCTTTTTCTCAAAAACATTCCTGGACACACATTTAGAAGAGGCACATTTCACCTAGTTGGCTGCAATTTCCTCCAATCTCTATTAGGCCAGCAATTGTGTAGCAATCATGCTTTTCCATACTCTGATGGTCCTACGACCAGTGACCAACACCAATTGTACTGTATACATTAGGACACAGCCTTCCTTGTAAGACTTCCTGAGCGATTCTCTTGAAAAGCAGTGCATGATCCTGACAGAGAAAACAAGTCTGCCGATCCTAGATGCAATTGAAGTTGTCACCCCTACCTTGTTTTGAAATTAATCTGTGAGGGTTTCTTACATTCTTTCCTTGTGTGATAACGTTTTCTCCTTTGAAAACCCACCCCAGATGGCAATATTTCATTTGCTCTTTCCCTGGTGTGAACAGTCTATTTATTGTTGGATATGTTCTGAGCTGGTAAAAACATTCTGCCCAAGCTTCCTGCAGGTAAAAAGCTTTTGGGACACATTGATATTGCAGCCCCCCACAAGTGAGGCCCTGTCTACACATCATATGGAAGGATTCTCTTTCATCTGCTGCTCCTGGTGCAGCTTCACTCTGAAATTAAATGATTTTGCATGTGTACCACACCTGAGAAGGTTCTGGCTATATTGTGTTACCTGCCAGTCAACCAAGAGGAAAATGCCTCTGAATATCGGTCCACAGCTCTCACAGGGCTGGCTTTCCTGGGAAGACAAAGGTGTCTTAGAATCCTTTGCCTGTGACACTTGTACAGAAAGGTTCTGTTCAGTGGGTGCCTCCACATCTGCTACTCCACAGCAGCAACCTGAACAAAAGGAAACGCAGGAAGATGTTATATTGACAATAGGAAAAAAATATTCCCATCACAAATGTCCATCTTGCACTGTTAGCCATTATTCCATGGGATGATTTTCAAGACAGCCAGACTCTCAGGAAAAATGTGTTACTTAGTATCGGGTCCCAAAAGTCAGTAAATGGTGGAGACCTCACCAAAAAAGACACAAGCATAGAATGGGAAACAAAGAAGAGAGCCAAGGCCTACTAGTTGTTCCTCCACAAATGGTTTCCTGTAGGACCTCTTCTTGAAAAAAGTAGGACCTTTTACTTCAGGTGGTGAGAGTCTATGTAGAAAAATCTGAATGTGCCCAAACACATAAAAATCAATTGCACAGAAGCACATAATGTTCAAAGTCAGTATAAGAAAACAAGAGCCCTGTCTGATGTGACTGAGTTGTCTGGAGCACCATCATGTAGAGCAAAAGGTTGTGGATTCCATTCCTGGTCAGGACACATACCTAGGTTCCAAGTTCGAACCCTGACCCCAGCTGGGGTGTTGAGAGGGCAACCAATTGATGTTTCTCTCTCATATCTCTCATTCTTCCTTTCTCATTCTAAAATCAATAAACATATTCTCAGGTGAGCATTAAAAAATAATGTTAAAAAAAAGAATATGGGCACATTATGAGGATCTGTAGGCATGGATCAAGGTTGGAGACAAGTTAGGAGAAAAGTGTGAGAGAAATGCTTGAGATGAAGGGTTTAGAAAAATGGAGATTATTTTTGGACTGGGAATCCTAGGAGAAATGATAACTGTCAGAACCGAAAAGTTGGAAAAGTGTCAATAATAAGCAAGGACAAGTAGATTAAGGTGTGGGATAGACAATGGTAACAAACACTATTAAATAAATGAGTTTCTAATTATGACCTTGACAAAGACCTGGTGTCAAGTCTTCAGCAGTTGCCATTCACCAAGTGAAAACGCCCTCTGAGCCCACCCAGCCATGGATCTAGTCATGTCCTTCCTGTGATACCAAAATGACTAGTCCTCTTAACTCTCAGTTGAGCCATTTCATGAGATTTGGATTAAAAAAAAAAAAAAGTCCTAAGAGAGAAACTAAAGACATAGATGGCAAGAACTATGATAGAACAAGACAGTACAAACAGAATCCAGTGAAATGATCTCTGTGAGTTGACTTCGAAAAAATACCAGAATAGGAGATATGAGAATTTATCTCCTTCCCAAGAAGAAGTAGACTGTGATCCACAAATAAAAACAGTCCTAGCACCAAGGTGTGTGGCCAGGTGCTCTGGGCATCATCCTACAAACTGGAAGATCACCAATTGGATTCCCAGTCAGGAAGCATAGGAGCCCCCAAAAGGTAGAAAGAAAAATGTGAGAAAAATGGTTAGAAAGTTTATGTAAAAAAATAATCTGAAGACTGACTTCCCAAATCTGAAGAAAAAAGGGGGGCAACAATCAACTTTATGGTTTCTCACAGGTCCCTGTACAGATTCAATGAAAGCAGGACTTCACCAAGACACATTACAATAAAGCGTCAAAAATGCAAAGCAAAGAAAATTTTGAAAGCATAAAGAGAATAGGATCAGTTCTCACAGAAAGAACACACCCATACACCCATAGAAGTAAACCTCAGTGGAAAAACCTTGAAGGCTAGAAGAAAATCAAATTATATATTGAAAACACTAAAAAAAAAAAAAAAAAAATCTGAAAACCAACATCATTCATCCAGAAAACCTGTCCTTCAGAAAGAAGAAAGACATTCCCAGGAAAACAAAAGCTAAGGAAGGTCACTGCCCCTCAGCCTGACTCATTAGAAAAGCCAAAGGAAGTTCTTCAAGTTGATATGAAAGAATACTTAACAAAAAAATGAATACAATAAAAAAAGTGTAAAACTCACTGCCAATCTGAGAGTGGAATCAAATTCACAATATTTCAACATTCCATTGATGGAATGTACATTACTAAACACTATTCTAAAGGTTAAAAAGAAACACTAGTCATCAGACCTCCAGTGAAGACGGCAGCATAGGCAGACAAGGCTCACCTGCTCCCACACCACAATCAAATTACAACTAAAATATAAAACAAATATCACTCAGAACCAACAGAAATTGAGCTGAATGGAAGTCTGACAACAACAGAATTAAATACACCACATCCATCCGGACTGGTAGGAGGGACGCAAATGAGGAACAGGCTGGGCCCAAACCCACATGTAGTGGATAAAAATTTGGGAGGGATATATTGGGACCGAGTCACAGTTCCACACCAGGGCCGCAGCCCATGATTCAGGTTCCAGGAAGATAAGTCCCTACAATTTCTGGCTATAAAAACCCATGAGGGTTGGGTTGGTGGACGAAACTTCTGGAACCCCAAGCAGTTCCTCTTAAAGAACCGACACATGGACTGACCTACTCAGAATCACTCCCTCTGGACTCCGTGCCAGGGTGGTGGCTTGAGGGGCACCAGTGGTGTGCAGGGGGAGGCTAAGGTGTTTGGCGTCAAGGTGAGCAGGTGCTGTTGTCCTTTTCCTAAGCCCTCCCATGACACAGCCGTAGACTGGTGCCATACCAAAGATTCCATCAACTGGCTAACACTGTTTGACCTAGCTTAGAGATCTCCCAAGCAGAGACTCTGCCCCACCCCACTTAATGAGCCCACCCCAGATGCTTTATTATATGAATGGCTGGTCTTGGCTTACGCTTCACAACTTCCTAAATCCTCTCAAACAAGTAGCAGTTGGTTTCAGTGAGCCCCAGGCCCAGAACTGGCAGCCAGGATTCAAAGCTTGGTTTCCCCTGGAAATCTCCAAGCCCAACACAAGTAGCAGCCATCTCAGACTGCATTATAACTCAGGCAGGGTGGCTGAGGGAAAAAGACAGCTTGTGAGTTGACCTTGGCTTGTACCACCTGGGAAACACCAGGGACAGGGCACCCAGTAGACAGCTACAGACTACGTCAGAGCACCACCACCCTGCCCTTGCATAGCTGATCCTCCACGGAGGGCAGAGATTGGTGGTAAGTGGTCACAGCCAATCCTTGCCTCTGACTGGCCTGGGTAAATACCTCCTATTGATCTGCCAACAGCAACCAAGGCTAAACTACAAGAGGAAGATGTACTCAGCCCACATGAAGGGCACACCTCAAGTACACAGCTTGGGTGATAGGGGAGACTGTGCCACTGGACCCGATTGGACACCAACTACATTAGGCCATGCTACCAAGACAAGGAATCAAAGCAGCTCTACCTAATACATAAAAACAAACACTGGGAGGCTGCCAAAGTGAGGAAACAAAGAAACAAGGCCTAAATGAGAGAACAGATCCAAACTCCAGAAAAAGAGCTAGACAAAATGGAGATAAGCAATCTATCAGATGCAGAGTTCAAAACACTAGTTATAAGGATGCTCAAGGAACTTAGTGAGGACCTCAACAGCATAAAAAGAGATCCAGTCAGAAATGAAGGATACACTAATTAAAATTAAGAACAATTTACAGGGAAACAACAGAATGGATGAGGCTGAGAAGCAAATCAATGATATAGAACATAAGAAAGCACCCACCACCAGTCAGAACAAGAAAAAAGAATCCAAGAAAAAAAAAAAGATAGTATAAGCAGTCCCTGGCACAACTTCAAGAGGTCCAACATTCACATCATAGGTTTGCCAGAAAGAGATGAGGAAGAGCAAGCAATTGTAAATGTGTTAAAAAAAATAATGAAATAAAACTTCTCTAATTTGGTGAAGGAAATAGACATGCAAGTCCAGGAAGCATAGAGTCCCGAACAAGATGGAGAGCAAAAAGCCCACCTTAAGACACATCATAATTAAAATGCCAAAGGTTAAAGATAAAGAGATGAGGGGGATGTGGGAAACTGGATGAGAGGGTAGGGGATTAAAAAGTACAAAGAGGTAGTTAAAAAATAGCCATGGGGTTTGTAAAATACAGTATAAGAAAGGGAGTAGCCAAAAAACTATGCATGTCCTGTGGATATGAACAAGGTTGGAGGGGTTGCCTGAGGAAGTGGAGGGTGCTGGGTGGAGGGGGGCAAAGGGGGCAAAATCAGGACAACCATAATATCATAATCAATAAAATATAATTTAAAAAATTAACACTAGTGAAAACAATAAAGCTAATAATGTGTACCTTTAAAAAAATTTATTTTTAGAGAAGGGAAGGGAGAAAGAGAGCAGGAGAAACATCAATGTGTGATTGCATCTCACGTGCCCCCTACTGGGGACTCGGCCTGCAACCCAGGCATGTGCCCTGAGTGGGAATTGAACTGGCGACCCCTTGGTTCACAGGCTGGAGCTCAACCCACTGAGCCATACCAGCTAGGGCAGAACGTGTACCTTAATAGGTATACATATATAAAAGATGTGAATTATGACATCAAAAACATATAAAGGGGAGTGTTGTAACCGGAAAAGCCAGTGTTCATGCCGCCTGTCACCTACCAGACCCAATAAGTAGAGACATGGACTGAATCTTTATGAGTGCTTTATTCAGATGGCCAGCGACCTGAGAAGACTGCAAGTTTGTACCCTAACACTGCAAGTTTGTACCCTAACAGACCGTCTTAAATTGCATTTCAAAATGGCCCTTTTAATAAGGAGAACAAATTGTAAGGGGGTTGAAATTCAAGGAAAAGTTAATTGGATTTAAAAAACTGCAGCATTCCTGACTGGGGCGGTGGTCATCTCACTCTGGGGTACAATGGCTCAGATACCATCTTGATTGCTAGAGACTTCCTGAGGCACAAAGGTGGAACTGCTTATGGCCTCCTGGAGCCAAGGTGCATCATACCTTAAATTCCTGAAACAAGAGCTCTTTACGTACACTGATAAAAGCTTATCAGCTATTACCTGAAACTAAAATTTTTCCAACATTTGAGCCCCCATCAGTGTGGTAGAGTCAAAGGGTAGAATTTTTGTATGCAGCTGAAGCTGCCATCAGGATAAAAGTGTTGAGTGAATCTGTTGTATTATGTCAGTCTCTTGGAA